GCTAACCTTGGGGGATTATGAGCAGAGTGTCTAGGAGACCAGAAACGGTCACCAGGGCAGATCAGAGTAGCAATCATCACTGACTCATTTGTGGTTCTAATTTGTGTCATAACAACGACAGCCACTACTGGTTGGCCATTGCCTCAGTCAGACACATAACCTGCCATGTTCATTTCATCCTATGCCATCAGGCAGGTATCTGCAACCTGTTGCCAGATAAGGGACTCGCCCCAGGCCCCAAAGCCAGTAAGAGATGCAAGTATCTTGAACCCAGCTCAGAAATGTCCATACCTGCACTCCTGTCCCCTTGCAGAACATGTGACTTCTTGTTTCTCTCCTCTCATATACTGGTACCAGCTCTTCCAGGAGCCTAGGCCTCACCTAGAAATTCCAGTAGGCTGCAGGACAGGGTCAATTATTGCCCTCACTCCAATTTCTTAGGGACATTTTTCAAAGACAGTGATATATTAAAAACCCAAAGGATGTACTTCAATAGCACATTCAGTGCCTAGAAAACTGATAATGGTGGAAATAACTTTGAACAGAGGGCTTTCATGTCATGGCTGCCACAAAACTATTAACTGCTTCATTCATTTGCTCACTTCATTCATTCCTTCATCCATTATTTATTTATTCACTATAGTGCAATGGTAAGAAACTGGATTCCAGAGCCTGACTGCGTGAATCCAAATTCTGATGTCCCCACTTAAGAGCTTTATGGACCTAATCTTTCTGTGAGTCAGTTTCCTCATCTGAAAAATGGGCATAACACCCTTGGAGGTGGAGTGAGGGCAAAGTGGAGACATTTCTTAAAACATCCAGAACTTTGCTTGGCACAGTAAGGGCCACCATGTGCCAGGAGATACCAAGTCCAGTGGGGCCTGGTTTCTACCCTTGAGATGCTTGCAGGCCCGTGAGAAGGTCAAAGCTATTCTGTCCATCTCACTGACCAGCCAGATCTATTTTGGCCTCTCCAAGGTGTTGGCTTTCAAAAGCAGATGCCACAACACAGGGCTGGGAGCCCAGAGGTGCCAAATGCTGCTGTTTGCTTTTGTACTGGGAAATTGGCTTCAACCCCAGGTGTGAAGGCCTCTTTGAGGCCAGGTAGTGGTATGCATTCCTCTGATTAGGTTTTTTTCCTGATCCAAGAAACATCTGCCTGGTTGAGGCAGGAGAGGCTTTTCAGATGCCAGGGGCTGCCTCTAACAAGGGCTCATCTTCCCAGGAGGCTGACTGACTGATGAAGATCAAGTCCTAGTACCGGTAATGCTGACCCCAGGCACCTCACAGCAGAAAGCAGAACCCAATAAGAAAAACCACAGCCCTAAGTAGGGCACTGGCTTGGGCTTTGTTACCTGCTAAAGACACATCCGCTGCCCCCGGCGCTTTGTGCCTTGGCTCCTGGCGGCTGCTCTATCAAGGCGACAGCCTGTGATCTCTGCTTTTTGCAGAGCTTGGGCAGAACAAGGCTGGAGTCTCATTTGTCTGTCTGAGAAGGAGACTTTCAGAGCTAGGCAGCTTGGAAAAATGAAGTGACAAAAGAAGCTGGCCAGCAATTAGGTAATGCCAGCCTGCCTGCTGGGCAGCCCTGCTCAGCTTGTTCCAGAGTGCACCAGGGTGCCCAGGGGAGGAGGAAAACCTGGATTCCGGGGTTGGAGGTGCATTGCCATGTACTAGGAGAATGGTCGGGGTATGTGTGGGTGAAGAGACCCTGAGAAGTGGCCAGTGAGCTCCCCTCTCCCAGCCTCACCTATACAATTCTTCCTGGAAGGTTTAAAATCCTAATGGAATCCGACGTTGATCACAGGTAACAAGACAAGTCATCCGTGGTGCCAGGTTTCTTCTCTTATGTTCCTCTGGGGCAGCAGCCTGCACACGGAGGAGCCAGCAGCAGGCTAGTGGCCCCTGGGCCCAGAGCTTGGCTCTGTGAACCTCCTAATTCCTCTGCAGCATGTCCCCAGGCTGTGAGCTGGGAAGCCAGGCACAGTTCTCTGATCAGCAGAAAGACACCCCCTCCCTGCAGGTCTCAAGGCCCTCTAGAAATGATAAAGGCAACCCTCCTAGCTCTGCATCTTCAGAGGTCAGATTTCTGTCATGGAAAAAAAAAATGTCTCTGAATTTTTTTCTCAAGCTTGCCTTTATCAAAAATGTTTACCAAAGACCTAGCTCTCCCCTCCTGCAAAATCAGCTCAACAGAGGACCCATAAGGTGGGCCCAAGGGAACTGACAAAGCCCCAAGGTCTGTTCTCCAGATGCCTGCATCCCCTCCTCTACAACCAGGCATTTATTTGAATTTTGTTTTGTTTGATTGTTGTTGTTGTTTAGAACGAGGACATATGCTTGTTTTAGGGAATCAGAAAGATTGGAAGTTCTCTGGTACTGAATTTAAGTTCTGGCTTAGTAAATGGTTCTATTTACTCGTTGTGTTACTGTAAGCAAATCACTTAACCTCTCTGAATCTCCATTCCCTCATCAGATAATCATTTCTTGAAATGTTTCCTCCATGATTTGTCTCAGCTGCTCTTCAGAATTGCTCTACAACATAGGAACTGTTGAAAAATTCAGTTTTACAAATTGAGAAACAAAGGCTTTGAGAAGTTAAATTCCTTCTCTGGGCCCCTGCAGGTTCCAAATTCCAACTCTTTCTTTGGGATCAGGGGAGATGATAATCTTTTTGTTGTGAAGATCATAGGATATCACCCATTCATTTATTTAGCAAACAGCTGTTGGGGACCTCAGAGCACCAGCCTCAGTCTCATGGAGTGAGGGGGCCCATAGTGTCTCTGAGCAGCCAGGAGCAGGCCAGACATGAGCTGAGGTAAGGCACCATCCTCTGGCCTGTGTGTCATCCCTGCAGAGTGAGCCAGTCCCTAGCTGGTGGCTGGTATATGGCCATGGGCCATCTCTTCCCTCTCTCCAGGCCCCTCTTCCTAAGCCTTTCATAGGTACCCTTTTGGGAAGCATCGCTGACCCCATTTCACAGATAAAGGGAACGTGGACCCCTATGGGCAGGAGAGCTCAGTGTTGGCTATGTGTTAGAATCACCTGGGAAACTTAAATAGCCAAACAAATGCCAGGTTGAGTCCCAGGCATACATGAGGAACTCCAAGAGTTGGGGGGAAGGTGGCCAGGGAGGAGAGGGTGGTCTTAGTGCCTGGGTATCTGGCAGACAAGGCAGGGATGCTAGTGGTCCATAAGCAGATGTGTCAGCTTGGGAACCAGACAGGTCCTTTGCTTCCTTTTTCTTGAATACAGAATGCTATAGGGCAGGAATGTGCACTTGGGGTGGTCCAAGAGTGTCCCCCCTGCCCTCCTCTGGTCCTTGGATAGGTGCTGTGGGCAACTTGCTTGGTTTTTCCCAGCCTGTTTGCACAGGGGTGTTTGGGTGGTTCCTTCTGGTATTTGGATAACGTAATTAGTCCTTTTGGAGGCTTCAGAAATATAGGTTATCTCCCTTTCTCTTCCCACTTCTACTACCCAAGTTTGGGTCACTTTTCTGTTTATTCCCATCTTCCCAGAGGAAATAAAATTCAGACCAGTTCTCTCTCTCTGATAGTACTGGCCAGGGTCCAGATGGACATGAAAATGGGTAGGGAGAAGATTTGAGATGCAGGTGGAATCCTGCTATCTGCTATTTATAGCCTATAGGCCTGGCAGGGTCTTGTCCACGCAGGGTCCAGGCCTGAGTGTAGAAAGTTCCGTGAAGGGCACCCCATCTGCTGTGGGCTACATGCATATTCCCAGTTGTTGGTGCTGAGGTGGGGGCAGTGGTTGCGCTTCCCCGTCTTTGCAGGTAGGTTTGAGAAACGAGGTTTGAGGGCTGCCTGGAGGGCAAGTTGGCCAACAGTACCCAGAACTAGCTTCCACAGGTATTTGTGGGACCAGAGGCCTGGTTACCCCAGGGCGAAGCTTATTGCAGTGCCTGGAACACAGTGGAGATTCAGCCCATACCTGCCTTGAAACAATGTTCTTTGCTTTCTTTCCTTCCTACCCCATCCCCCAGCTCTCTGGGTAGACTCCTCCCTAAGCTGGACACCTAGAGATAACCTTATTGCCTCAGAAAGCCCAGGGTTTTTAAACATACAAAATAGGAGAATTATCTTAGTCTAAAACAAAATGCAATTGACTGGTGACTCAAACAACAGAACTTTATTTTTTCACAGATCTGGTGGCTGGAAAGTCTGAGATCAAGATTTTGACAAGACTCTCCCCTAGGGGTACAGATGCCTGCTCTCTCTCCATGTCCTCTCTCCATGGGGGAGAGAGTGAGAGTGAGAGTACCAATACGCGCTAGCTCTGACCTCTTCTTACCAGGGATCTGCTCCCATCATGGTATTGCCACTCTTATAACCTCATCTAATCCCACCTCCCAAAGACTTCAGCTCCAAAGACCTGAATGCCATCACTTTAGGGGTCGGGTCTTTGTCTTAGTCTATTTGGGGTGGTTATAACAGCATACTGCAGGTTGAGTAATTTATAAGGAACAGAGGTTTCTTTCTTAGTGCTGGACATTGGGAAGTCCAAGGCCCAGGCGCTGCAAGTGGCAAGGGCCTTCTTGCTGCATCATACCATGATGTAAGGAGGAGGGGCACACGCAAGAGAGAGCAAAAGCTCAAACACGCAGCCTCAAACCCTCCTATGACCAGCATTAATTCACCCAGGAGGGCAGAGATCTGGTGGCCTAAACACCCTCGGAGTCCTCACTACTTTAACACCATTGCTGTGAGGATTATGCTTTTGACACACGACAGACTTCAACATATGAAACTGGGGCGAGAGGAAGATACAATTCAGTCCATAGCAAGAATCCAAAGGGATGACTTGACAGATGTACTGTGTAGAGTTTTAAAAATCACAACAATAAACTGGAAAGAGAAGAGACAAGAGCGAGACTTCTCCACTGCCCGCCGCCACCACTGCTATTGCCGCCACAAATACAAGAATAGTGCCCTGGAGGATGGGGGCGCAGAGGACAGTCTGGGGTTTGACCCTGGATGAGGATGAGGGACCGAAGACAAGAGACTCGAGTGGAGGGTGTGGAGGAAGGAAGTGAGAAGGACAGTTGCCATGTGTGGCACTGGTGCCAGGCTGCTCTGCAGAGATGAGGTGGATGGCAGCTAAGCTGAATCCTGTGAGCTACTCCCCTGCACCCAGGAGATACTGCTCAGGCCCTGGGCAGTTCAGCCTTTGCTGAAGGCTCCCAGCATGTCTCCTGTAGATCAGATGTTTGCTGTACACAAGGCTTTCCAAAGCCTCTCTAAATTGCCCCATATAACCACCAAGTTTTAAAGGCTAGAAGAGCCATAAATCCCCCCCAACAAAAAAAAAAAAAAAGAGAGAGAGAGAAGGGAGCTTTATATACAGACAGGGAGGTAAGGTAAGGAAAAACCCCAGCCTCCCAGCCTTGCTGCTCTGATGGGCCAGGAGATTGGTGAGCCTGCTCCCTCCCTTATATAATCCACGTGATTATATCAAAGCAGCAGCGCAGTGCATCAGTTGAGTACCCTTGGTCAGACTTTGCCCCTACCTTACAGTGTGGTCTTAGGTAAGTTTCTCAATACCTCTGTGCTTCTGTTTCCTCCCTTGAAAGATGAAGATGAAAACAATAATTCCTATTTCTTAGGGTGAGAGTAAGAATTAGATGAATTAATTCAAGTGAAGTGTTTACACTAGTTCACGGCACACGAAACCTGTTAGTCATTATGATCATTGATGAGAATATTCAGGGCTAGTGTCTGACAGCCAGTCAGGAGAGATGAGGAATGGTCAAAGGCAGGGGCTGGGGACAACAGGCCTGGCCTAAGATATGGCAACCTTTGTACCTAGCCTCCAGTCTGCATTTCCTCCTTTGTAAAATGTGGATTACATAAATGAACACTTGCAATCTCTCCGTGTAGTCAGTGTTAGATATTTATGCCTACTTTTTTCAGATAGGGAAACTGAGGCACTCATGCTACAAACTTCCCTGAAACAGCTTGGAAGTAAAAATGCTAAGATGTGAGTCAAAGTCATCTGCCCCCAGACACATATGTGTCCACACTTCAAATTGTTGAAAATGTAATTTATTTTTACTCATTTTTTTCCATTATGGGTTGTTAACAGGATAAGATGACATTTGCCAAGCAAAGGGATAAATTTGTCTTAAGACTAATTTTTCAGTGAATTTTTTTCTCTATCCTCTTTTGACAGATTAACAGCCCTTAAACTAGAGATTATATAAAAAAATCCATTTCAGCTGACATCTACCTAGAAACAATAGACTCTTCTGGGTTTTCATGTCTATTAGCAACTGATAGGCTTAAGGAAGAATATCTCCAAATCCACATACCATATCAATATCCCTATAAAAACTGAACAAGTGCCGGAGGAATGCTTATTTCAGGTGGCATCCAATACTATAAAAGTACAAGGGAAGTTTTAAAAAGCTTCCTGAGAATGGCTTAGAGGTTTGGCCTGTGCTTACAAACATAAATGTGGGAGACTGATGACCTGCTTTGATTCCCATCTCTACCAATTGCTCCTTTTATCTCCTCAACTTATTATTATTATGGGGCATCCATATGTAGCTAAAGGTCTCTGTTCATGGGACCTTCTACAACATCAGTGATTCTCAAACTGCACAGTACCAATGACCTATTTAAAAAGCACCTGGGTGATTGCTAAAATGGTTTTCACCCCAGTTCTATGGAATCTCATCCACTGGGAACAGAGCCAGGGAATCTGCATTTCTGACAAGTTCTCCAGATGGCTTCAGGACAGCCACTCCCGCCTGCACCCCAACTTCAGGCGGGTGCAGGGACCTGGAGCAGCCCAAGGACCTTCCTGCACCTCGCTGCTCCGGGTCTGTCGTGGGGCTTTGCCTCAAGCCCCTCACAGGTGTCTCAAAACCATGCTTCCCTCGGCGTGGCATCTTTAGGGACTACCGTTTCCGCTTTGCTTTCTAATTTGCTCAGGGCTGAGGGCTGGGGTGACCTTGATTATAGATTCACACCGTCTGACGGTGGCCTGACTCCCCATCTCCCTAAAGAGTTTTGTAGAATAGAAGACACCTTTCCCTGGCTCTGTCCCTTCTAGCTCATCAAACAGGCCAGCTTCAGGAAAGGAACGTATCCTTAAGGGTGGGGCCCTCTGGCCACTCGCCCAGTCGTGACTCAGCTTTGGCAGGCTGGCGAACAGGTCAGGGGCCCGGGGCTGTGCGGGACCGAAACAAAGCCGCGCTCGAACGCGCCCTCCCCGGGCCGCGCCGCACCTGCAGCGCCGCCTCGGCTCCCTCCCCTCCCGGGGGCGGCACTGGCTGTTGCCAGGCAGGCCCGGCCCGCGGCGGCTGCAGTTGGCTCCCGGTCTCCCGCCGCCCGTCGCCTCCGCGCCGCCTCCGCCCGGTGAGTCACCCCGCCCAGCAGCCGCCGCCGCCCTGCCGCTCTCACGCCTCTGCGCCTGCGCGCGCTGCATGCAGCGCTCTCTTGGCTCAGCACCCTGCCCTGGGCGCAGCGGCACCCGGAGGTCGCCGGGAGCCGCCTCCCTCGCGTCCCAACTCGCGTGTTCTTCCTCCGCTGCCGGTGTCTCTCCAACTGTGCACCGGCGGAAAGAATACCCTGTCGCCGTCCTGTCACTGTGTCTCCTCAGCCTCCTAATGCGGGTCACATATCTCTGCCCTGACTGGGCTTCTGGTGCTACCACCCAGCACTGCCTTCAGTCTTCCCCTTTGTCCTGCGGGTGGGTCTCAGGGCTGCCCGTGAGGCTCACCCGGGGAGATGTAAAAATCCGATGCCAGGCTGCACCCACACCCTGCACTCAAAAGCACTGGTCGGGGACCCGGGCAGTTTGTGAAATTCCCCAGGTAATTTCCACTGTTTAGTCAGGGTGGTGACACCACCAGCCCTGGGCTTCTCAAATATTAGTAGGCTTTGCAATCCCCTGGGAGATGGATAAAATGCAGATTCCCCTTAGTTCAGCAGGGCCAAGGAGGGGGCCTATCAGTCTGCATTTTTGACAGGTTCTTCATGATTCCAAGGTTGCTGGCCTGAGAGTTACATTTGGAACTGCAAGACACCTTCAGGGTCCCTTTGGCTTTCCTCTGGCGATGGAGAAGACTTGGGTTTGGGATCAGATGGACATGGGTTTGTATCCTACCTCTGCCACTTCCTAGTTTGGTGAAATTGGTCTCTAGTCTGTGTGTGTGAATGGGGAGGGGAGAACAGTACTTAGCAGGGTGAGTGAGTGGTGAGGGTGATGATGAGCCTGGTGGCAGTGAGTGAAAGTCAACTGTATTGGGATGGTTTAATTCCCCTGTGGCCCCTTGGTGGAGTAGGCCAGGGAATGGCAGAAGCCAAGGAAGGAACCTTCCAGGTCTCCTCTCTGCTGTCTCTTACCAGATGGGGCTGAAGTCATATACAGCACTGTCTCTCTAGGGAGCCAGACAGGCATTGGATTTGGTGTGTTTGCCAGAGCTGAAGGGATAGAGGAGCAAGGAAGATCTGTGTCAGAGCCTGGAGCTGACTAGAGGGATCCTGAGTTCCTGGGAGAGCAAGTCTCCTGAAGCAGTCTAGGGGCTTCAGGAAGGGTACCCTGAGCACATGGTGAGAACCACCAGAGGCCAAAAAGTAGGGTCAGGATCCCAGGAGACAGAGATACAAGGAAGGGGGATGGAGCCTATCTTATTTCTCCTGGGGGGAAAAAAGGTGTAGGCAGTGTTCACTGGGCTTTCCTGAGGCTACCTGGGGCTGCATCTTACTCCCCTCCCCCCTGCTAGTTGTGTGACCTTGTCAAGGTGACTTAAGCCCTCAAGGCTCCATTCCTTCAAGTGTAAAATGGAGTCATTGTCATTGCTGACTCACAGAATTGTGTGCGGGACTGAAAGATAATTTGGTAAAGCCTCAGATCAGTTGCTGTTGCACTGTGGGCACCCCGTGGGTGTTTGCTATTATTATTTCTTCCCATTGGACAAGTGAGCAGCCTGTGAGCAGCCTGAGTTTAAGGGACTCTGCAGGCTTGTGCTGTCCTTTCTCTGGATTCCCTTCAGCTCTGAACACCCTTTGTAACACTCTTTATGACTTGGTCAAGGGCTGTGATCAGCCGTCCTGATGGTGGACTCCAATTTTGATCTGGCTCTCCTGAGACTCCAGCTAGAATATATCTCATTTTTTGGCTCAGAGAAAGGACTGGAAGCCAGAGGATTCTGATTTAAAGCTTACCACCTCCCTCTGGACAGTTGGTAAGGCCACATTCTGTGAGACTGCATGTGACATGCTCAGAATCTGCTTAATACACACGAATATGATTCCTTTTAAATCATAGCACTTCAATGTAGCTCTGGTGAACGGCTCAGTAGACAAAATGTTTTAAAAACATGCTTTCTTCCACACAGAGCCCTGGTCATCAAGCCAGGGACCTGGACCTGAGATGTAGGGCACTGGTCTTAAGGCCCAGACACCTTCCCCCGCCACCTGGGTTCCCACAGTATGCTCAGGACACTGCAGGGTTGTAGTCATAGCTTGCTTCTCATGTCCTTCCCCACACCCTGCCTCCACAATCAGCTCTGTCCTTCTCCACCTCAAATTTCCATCACCAGGCAAAATGCCTGACACCTAATCTAACCAGTGCTTCCGAAGCACTCATTATCAATTCAAAAAGAATAACCGAGAGCTTCAGAACCTCCACACAGGCTCACTTCTCTGGACCTCAGTCTTTTCATAGATAAAATGGGGTTTGGACTAGATTCGATCTCTTAGGCTGCCTCTGACTCTAGCAATCCCTAAGTTTGAAATATTCTTCATTTTATCATAATCCACTTTAGTTTTTCATCCCAGGAACACATTCTTGTATTTGACCTTGAATTTTGTTTGCTTCTTACTCAAACAATGTGTGAATGAGCTTTATTAAATAGCTGCAGTCAGGCGTGGTGGCACATGCCTGTAATCTCAGCAGCTCAGGAGGCTGGGACAGGAGAATTGTGAGTTCAAAGTCAGCCTCAGCAAAAGCAAGGCGCTAAGCAACTCAGTGAGACCCTGTCTCAAAATACAATACAAAATAGGGCTGGGGATGCGGCTCAGTGGGCAAGTGCCCCTCAGTTGTTCAATCCCCTGTACCAAAAAAAGAGACTGCAAACACACAGCTAATTAAGGCTTATAATTTCTTTATTTTCTTACTAACTTTTTCTGCACCAGGCCATTAGTCTGGTTTTTGTTAGAAGCACATGGAACTGATAATTTTCAGTGGATGGGGTTCATTCTCCCTACATCCCTTACCTTGGCAGCCTCTGCAACATCCTTGGGCATACTGCCTCTGTGTCCCTGGTGGAGTGGACAAGCCCCCACCCCCTTCCCTTTGCACAGGACTCTGTCTTGGCAGAGAAAATATGCAGACTGCTTGGGTCAAGGAAAGGTGTCCCTCACCCCCACTGAACCTGACTGATCACATCGGCCCATGAGCCCACAGGAATAGATGAGTGATGCCAGCTCCCAGCCCCCTCAAATATCTTCCACATTTATTTGTTAGGGCTGAAAGAATCAAAACAATATCATTTCTAAGGGAATCTTTTTCCTTCCAGGGAAGCAGCCACAGTGGGATTTTCTGTAATATTAGCCAAATGCTTGGATATCTGCCACTAACAAGTCACTATATGGTAGATTGTCTGCAAGGGTGGTCCCAACTCAGTCTCCAAAAGTGAATCTGTTCCCTCTTCTTGAATCTAGGCTGGTCCTACAACCAGCTTCACCTGAAGAATGAGACAAAGGGGTGCTATTCCAGTCTGGGCCTAGGCAGAGCCAGCAACCTACCCCAAGGATCCAAGTGTGTGAGGGAGGCCCTGCTCCAGCCAGGCTGGCTGATCCGCATGGATTTATCCTTACAGAGCACTGCTAAGCTCTACTAAAGTTCTGGCCCTCAGAATTGGGAGCAATAAAAACAGTTTGTGATTTAAGCCACCACATTTTGGATAATTTCCTTATATCCATAAGTAACAAAAGCACCATAGTCTCTGGACTCTAGTCTCTTCACCTACAAATGCTGGTTCTGTCTTCCATCTTTGATATTGGGCCTCCATAACTCATGTCCATCTCTCTTTCCACAAGTGTGTCTCTCAACATGTGGCTGCCAAACAAGCAGTTGAAATTACGGAAAGTGCCCCCAAACCCCAGAGGTTACTATCATTCATTCACCTGGAATTTGTCAAGGAAAACAGAAGAATGTATTATCTTGAAGCACTGGCTTGGGAGTCAGTAGCACTGGCTTTGAGTTTAATTTTGGACTAGTTTCTTTCTTCAGGTCTCCATCTCTTTATCTGTAAAATGGGATAATAATAATACCTACTTCAGTGTGAATGTGAGGGTTATATGAGGTGGTGGTGTCGGGATGTTGCTTAGCACGGTGCCTGCATGTGGAAGGAAATAAAGTGTAGCTTTCTCTTTAAGGGCTCCTATGCATTTTTTTTTGCTTTTACATCTGTCTACAGAGGGAGTAAAAATTACCAAAACATGATAACCTAGCCCTGCCCCAGCCAGCAAGAAAACAAAACACACATCTCCAGGGTCCTCACTGCATTGTGAATATCATCTCTGTAGATTTGGGGGGAAAGATGTAAATGATTTCTTTGGTATAAACAAAAAAAAATGTGAAAAGCATAGGGAGGGACAGAAGGAAGGAGCTGGGTAATGATTTGCTTTGGTTTCTAAAAAGAAATCTGTCGTTCCTTACATTTATGATCCGAGGATGGTCAAATTAAAGGGGTTAAGTTAATTTAAAAATAAAAGTGGCTTTGTAGGAATCAAGCAGAAGAAAGCAGCATGTTGGTTAGCACTTTTTCTCTTTTTAAAAAAAAAAAAAAGAAAAACAACAGTGGAACAAGAGAAATCAAAACCTAACCTTCTACCATCTGCCGCACATGATTTTCTAGCTCTCTATAAGGATCTCATTAGCATCTTCCAAGAGGCTGATTGTAGCCACCAGCACAACTGTGGTGCAGAAAAGGGGCACCCACACTCGACTGCCATGGGCACCTGCAGAGGGGCCTGCTGGGCTCCTGCCAGGCTCTCCCAATTCCCTCCTTCAAATACAGTCCAACTAAACTCCATTGCAGCAAGGAGAGAGTGACCCCTGTTAAAGGACCTGCACCAGCCAGGAAGGACACTGAGGAGGGGAGATTGGCCTAGCCAGTCACCAAGCGCCTGAGAAGAACACTTCAGACCCACCTCGGCTACTGGTTCTAGGTCTCCTGGGTCTGCTCTTTCTGGCCTAATCAAGAGCTGCATATTCTGGGCCTGCCAGATGTAAGGTGCAGGGAGAATATACCCTCCCCTCTCCGGACTCCTCAAGGCACCCTCCCACCTCACCTGGCTTCCCAGCATAAAGCAAGGTCACACAGGATGGTTCTGAACAGGCTCTCACCTGCTTAGTGGCTGGGCAAGGAATGTGGAGCTACTAGATGAAAATGTCCCAGGAGGAAAGGAGGTGGCAGCCAGGAAGGAATTCCCAAGGAAGCTTTAAGGAACCAAGGCTTTTCTCTCCCTTCCCCTCGCTCTCTCTCTCTCTGTCTCTCTCAGTTCTTTTCTGAAGAAGCATGCGAGGCTGGAATCTGAGTGTGTGTGTACACACATGTGCACACATAGCAGCTTTCCTTATCTGTGCTTTCGTCTCTCAAGATTTCAGATACCTGCAGTCAACCACAGCACAAAAATTTTAAATGGAAAATTCAAAATTTTGAGAGAGAGAGATCATATTAACACAATTTTATTATAGTGTATTATTACTAGTGTATTATTTGATTGCTAGTTATTATTGTTAATCTCTTACTGTGTCTCATTTTATAAATCAAGCTTTATCATTGGTATGTATTTATAGGGGAAAACAGTATTTATAGGGTTCAGTGCTATCTGCAGTTTCAGGCATCCATGGAGACGTTGAAACATATACCCCGAGAATCAAGGGGGACCACTATGTACACAGACACACATACAAACACTCACACATCGGTATACATATACCCATCCACCTGAATGAAGTAGAGGCTACCCAGTGACAGTCTCTGTGGGAAGACTGGAGTCCCTGAGATTCTAGATGACTGCAGAATCTTAGGCATTCATGACTCAACTGGAGCCCATTACGGAGGCCACAATTAAACCTCAAGTCCGAATGGTTCCTTTGATCTGGTCCAGTATGAAGTTAATTTAGTCTTTTAGGCTCCTTTAGGTTTGTCTCTCTCTCTCTCTAAGAAATATTCTAGCTCCTCAAGCTAAGTAGAAGCCATTTTGGTGTTTCCTTGTCTTCAAATACTCTGTCCATATGAGTTGGGGCTTTTTTTTTTTTTTTTTTGATAGAGTCGGGGCAAGGACTTTAGAAGCCACATGGGCAGATAGGTGTGAAATAAACTAAAAATAGACCACAAAATCTCTGTTGGTTGGTTTGTTTAAATGCCATGGACCTTGGACTGGAACTTTCAACCTTCCAGGTTCATTATTCCTGAAACTCAATGACAGCCATGATTTACTTTCAGGACAGTTTCAGGTCAGGCTGTGGAGATGAGCACTTAACTCCATTCTAATGTGAATCAGCTAGTCTATGGCTATGAAGGACCCCAATACTGGCTAGCTGAAGCAAATGCCATGAACACATTGACCCATCACGGAATAGAGACCACAGGCATGGTCCAGACAGCAAGAGCCAGGGCCTTAGATGAAGCCATTGAATTCTCCATCTCCTGGTTTTGCTCTCTCATGGCTGATGGGCAAAGGAAGCTAAGGATGGAGATAGTCCCTTGTGTGTCTTTGCAGTTCACCAATCCCTGGGGGGAAAAGGTGGTTCTCCCAATACCTATAAAATTAAGGGGGGAAACTTGGTTGGTGCAGCTTTGGGCAAGCAGGGGCTGGGGTCTGAAGCACACAGAGTGGGGCAGGACAGTAATGTAAGGAAGGCAGGGGATGCTGTTACCAAAAGTAGGAGCCAAGGAGAACTGTGCTCCTCAAAGTCAGGTGTTTGCCCAGGCATATCAAATACATTCACTATTCACTAGATCTTTTCCCTTGCCTCCAGATTCAGCTTTTATGGCATAGGTGCTACCCGGAGGAATCCTGAGTCACTACTAAACAGCAAATGTCACCCAGAGCAGAGCAGATCCATTAGCAGGGCTCCTGTGTATAATTCTGGGGGAAGGGCCATTGCTTGCTTGGTTCTGTCCCTGGCTTGAGCCACAATGTCTTCTGCCTACAGCCCTGCCCTGGCCCAGACAGTGCCATAGTCCACCTGTGAGGGGATGGGTCAAAAGCTTATCCACACTCAGTGTTGCCCTAACAGCAAGTATAAAGGGCTCCCATCTGGGCCAGACCTACCTCCTCTGACCTGACCTATGTCCTCATCACTCATCTAACTGAGCTAGCTCACCTGGCTGTGCAGATGTGGAACTTCTTATCTCTTCTTGCCTCTGAGGCCTTCATGCTCTTACCCTTTGGCTCACATAACATTAGCTAATACCATCTTGAGCCAAGCACTTGTCCTAAGCACTTCAATTATATTTTATACTCACACTGTCCTATGTGGTATGTGTCATTATTGTTATCGTCACACCAGACAAGGAAGCTGAGACACTAAGGGGGTAAGCAATTTGTTTGAAATTACATGGCTTCTCAGTGGTAGAGCTGACAAACCTCGGGCATTATAGTGAAGTGGATAAGTAAGGTGAACCCTGGAACAAGACCAGCTTCATCATGCAGTGGGACCTTGGACAACTTGCTTAGCTTCTCTGAGCCTCAGACTCCTCGTCTAGAGGATGGAACTTCAAATTCTCATATTCCAAGACTGCTCTATCCCTTCCTTGGCCTACTTTCTCCTTCTAGATAATTCTAGCCAGTGATTCTCAAAGTTAGGTCTTCAAGTGGGCTCTCTCAAACTCTGGGCTCACTGAGGCACTTGAAAATTCATTTGTACCACAAAGTTAGCAAAATTGACCTATTGATTTTCCTCCCCGACCCCAGTCATTCCAACCTCAGTGCATGGTACCACCCTCTCGACTACCCAGCTGCTAGGTTAAGCACCCAGAATTTGAATTGGATTCCTCCTATTGTTTATCACGATCAATCTTTCTTCAGTGTTCTGTTGGTTCAAACTGCAAAATATATCCTGAATGCAGAGCATCTTCACTGTTTCCATGGCCACAGCTGTCATCCCAGTTCCAGGTCTCTAGCCTGCATCACTACATGCCTTCTCACGGTCTCCCTACCTCCACCCTTGCTTTATCCCAGTCAATTTGATCATTTTTATCTCTCTGCTTAAAACCCTTGGTCTCACATTGCTCCAGGGATACTCCAAATTCCTTTTCACAGTTTAAATGGTCCGACCTTACATGGCCTCTGCTTACTCCTCCGCATCCTCCCACCTGCTCTTTCCTGCTTGTTCTGTGACAGCACAATGTCCATCTTGTTCACTGCTGGGGCCCCAGAGCCTAGAGCAGTGCCTGACACATAGTAGAAGTAGGAGCTCAATGTATGCTTATTTGTTGAGTGAGTGAATGGATGACTGTGTGCCAGCCTTGGGGACCTTCTTTCTCTCCCCAAACCCACCATGCTCTCTGCTGTCCTAGTTACACCTGCTGTTCCCTTTGCTGTTGGCACTCTTCCCCAAGCACTGTGCACTGCCGATCCTCATCCATTTTTCAGTCTGTGTCCAATAATCAGCTCCTCAAGCAGAACTTTTCTGAGTGCAGTAGCAGAAAGAGCATATGGCCATTGTGCTCCATTATGTGACTGGTTTTTTGGTTTTTGGTACCAGGATTGAACCCAGGGGTGCTCAATCCCTGAGCCACATTGCCAGCCCTTTTCATTTTTTAATTTTGAGATAGGGTCTTGCTGACTTGCTGAGGCTGGCTTTGAACTTGCGATCCTCCTGCCTCAGTCTCCCAAACCACTGAGACTATAGGCGTTTACCACCATGCCCAGCAATGTGACTGTTGTTCAGAGCATGGGTCAGCACCTGAAATTACTTTCTTTGTTAATTTGAGTTGTCTTACTCATCACCTTCATAAGGATGGGTCAAGGGCAGGGGCCTCATCTTATTTAATGCTACATCCCACACCTAGAACAGTGGTTGGCACAGACTTGGTGCTCAACAGTCCACTATGAGCTGACTGATCAACACTTAAGATTGCTAAGAGAATGAAACATAGATTAAAGCATATGTTAAAACCACCACTTTGGAAATTTGGCAGTTTCTAATAAATCTAAGCATATGGTGACAAGGAACAGCAATTTTCCTCCTGAATATACACACAAGAGAAATGACTGCTTATATCCAAAAGACTCCTTGTCCAAGAATGCATGCATCCTCATTCACAACTGCACGAATCTGGAACTAACCCAAATGTCCATCACTGAGGGAAGAGATGAACAAATTATAGTCTGTTCATACAATGAAATACTGCTC